GATTTATTGTTGCTTTACGTCATGTAAACAGTCGCGGCCATACTTACACACGCCAGTTTGAAGTTTTGGAGGAAGTCCCGAGTTCCTGGAGATCTAGAAAAACCACCGACCTGAGGTCAGTAGCTGGAGACTGCCTTATATGGGCATCTAACCCAAGACTCTGAGATGACGGTTATTGATGAAGACTTAATCGCTTGGCTACTGTAGCCTCAGTGTTAAATTGTAATGTTGATAAAACAGACTTTTACATTTTACTTTGTTCTGTAAATTGAATGATCATGCAGCCATGCTTTTATTTGTCCAAATTTACATGAAAATCCATTATGAAGGACTGAATACAGTACTAATCTGAGTGTACAAACATTAATTTGCTAGGCAGATACTGTATAAGTCAATCTAGAATCTTTCCTGAGTATGACGAAATATGTAAACCAACAAATCCTGCTGAACCTTCCAACACATATTAACTGGTCATATCTACCGTTAATTTGCAAATTGTCTATTCATGAAACAGTTGCAGTTATTATGTTTATAATTAAGGATTTTGAAAAGCAAAACAGGCTCTGTAGGAAAAAAATTAAAGTGCCTTCAACGCTGCAATTCAATACCTACCAAACAATGACAATAGTAGTGAGTTGCCATTTAACAATTTATCGTCTGCTAGACTTTTCCCCAGTCCCTAATTTATACAGAACTTTTAACTTAATTGCTAGCATACATATTATTATTATACACTGTCATATATATAGAACCTGTGACACTAAATTAAGTAAGGTGTTACTTTATATTTTATAAGTCATGTGACATGAAAATCGTTTTGTAGACTATACAGTGTTTTTATAGAGTAATTTATAACAGAAAGAAGTAGACAGACACTGTCACTCAACGAAAGGGACATTCTTAGTAGAAGGTGCTACCTGTACTGTAAACTACAGCAACAGTAGAAGTGTATTCAGAAGAAATAATTATCATTCCCTCCCACGAATGACATACTGAACACACTAACATGTGTCATATGTCCTACATTTATACATATGAGAGCTCATTTACGAAGGGGCAATGCGTCCGTGATAACGGTGCCACGTCAAACAAGCCAAGATTTCGGGATGTTTCGTGATCATATTTTCCCCGAGAGATGCGTGTTGAACAGCACTGGGAAATTGGACTACACAGGCAAGAGCATTAGTGTCAAAATACATTACTTCACATGTCTGTTCACTGGCATGACATATAATATTTATAAAGACTGTCCCAACATGTGCCGTAATCGCTTTGAACACAGAGAGAGGGCTACGTATTTATCGATTCGACGCTTGACGTACTGAAACAAAAAAATTCACCTAAAACCAAAATAAACAATATTTACCTGTAAACGTAACGGTCGATTGAGCCTCTGTCATCTTTACTACTCTCTGTTTTTAACTCCCCGGTTGCCATCTTTCAAATATTTTGACAACTTTTAAATTCCACTGAGAAACGAACTGAAGGCACTGATGGCCCGTTTCGCTTTCAGTCTGACGGCGGAACTTCAATGTAAACAAACACCATTTCGTTGATTTCGAGCATTTGTAAAATTCCCTGAATTAAACAGAAATGTTGACAGGAATGTTCTCACACTTGTATATAAGTTGCACATCCTTTGCACGATCGTGTTAGATGCCTGTGTTATTTTCGTTGTACGGAATAAAAATCAATTCCCTTGCGAGTTTCACAGTACGTGGGATGTAGCATGCGTTGAGTATATTACCGTACGGATAAAATTTACGGAACGCAACGAATGAAATGAAACGAAACGTATTTCAAAATAATTTCGCAGTCTGTTGAAAATGACTGTATAGATGCATTGAATATTTAATTCAAGTTTTTTAAACATAAATATCCAGGCAAACTATGAACAGAACTGCTCATTTTTTTTTTATCTATTTTTCTCTTCTTTCATTCACCAATGTAGATAAAAGAAGGAAAACAAGAATAATTGACAACTCACAATGACCTTAATAATTTTCATGGAAATTATAACATGTTAGTTTAGGTTGAAAACGACAAACTAGGTTTTTTTTCTTCTTTCTGTTTTGTTTGTTACTTTTTGAAAGGGGGGATTCTTGGCTGCAGTTACCATGGGCACCAAACACAACAAACGGCAAACAAAATAGTTCCATAGATATATAACAATACATTGTTTCTCTGTTGAATTACAAAATATGAATGTACAGCCAATATGTCATACACAAGATTGTCTCAGAGCTGTAATACATCAATCTACTACAATGAAGAGAAAAGCATTGCATTCACTGATTCATACATTGCTGTGAAATCCACATCATTAATGATGGTAATGGAAAATGACTTGCATTTGGCTCCATACAGCTTTAAGTTCATGTCAGCTGGGTGCAGTGCAAATATACAGATATGTTATATTTAAAGCATACTTGAGTTATATGTAGTATAAGTACAGTGTGTATAATTGTAGAGAGATATCTCTGAATGATTCAGTTGTCGTCAGACATTAGACTGACTTCAAGATGTTCATCAGCAACAATAACTGAAGTATGAAAACCTTGAAGAATGAAGAAAGCTGCGATGTTTTTTAAAATCCAGTCTCCCAATTCCTCCATTGCCAAGCAGCTAGATCATGGATAACAAGAACCTTATGTAAATTTTACTATTCACATCTTATGCTCAAGTTGTTATCTCTTCTAGCAGGTTTGAAGCTGAAACTTATTGAAAAGGGACCAGGGCTGATTGTTGTCTTTTTCTGTTCATTTTTTATTATTTTCATAAATGTTAATGTTTTGTCAGAAAATGGTGACTGAAATCATCTTATTTTATTATTGTGTTTATCCTTAAGTAAGCCCACACCGAGACTGTGACATCACTTCCAGCTAAACCTCAGGGGACCAATGCATAGACTTATCTATACATGTATATTTAATTCAAATATATTTCACTACAATAATAAGCAGCAACAGGATTGGACACATGTTATTACAACATTACTGAAGTCCTTACCCAAAACAAAATAACAATAACTAAACAGTTTTTAAATACAAATTGTAAATTATATAAGAAAGTCACAATTATCCCTGAAATAAAAAAAATCAATCTAATTAGATTGTAATTTAAAATTGATTTCTACATCTTATGAAATTGTGCACTTGTAGCTTACAAGTCAATGGGATATATATAATATTAATATAGATTTTTTTTAAAAATATCACTCAAAATTGACATATAGGGGTGGGCTTAATTAAGTTCTTTTTGTAAAATGTAATTGTTTCAAAATTGAATCCCCAGCATAAGAGCACACTACCTAACAGCACACTACCTAATTTTACGACACACATTGTTTTATATGAGTCGCATTCTACTGTACTATTGTTCACACTTACCATTATATTGTCATTATAACCCTGAGTCACTACATTCACTCTGACTCCGAGTCCTGTGTAGGACTCGTAACAAGACATTGAAATAAGTGTGAAAATGAATCAAACGACAAAACATATGGACAGGCTTATTTTCAAATAAATAAGGGACATCCGTAAATGAAAAAACAAGAACAAAAACAAGAATTTCTAAATGCACTCATCCGAAAATCTATTTTTAACTTAAAGATCTGTGTCATGTTATATTTATATCACAATTCAATGGTTAATGAACATGACTTTTTTTTTTTTTTGCATTTTCAATTACAATGGTGAAAGGGCATCATCCAGTATATACTGTAATTCAATAAAAAAAATCATGACATTATGTACATGCTGCGTAATTCTAATGTCTGCATCTTGCTATATGTATAAAGCAGAAAGGATTCAAGTATGCTTAAAGGAAACAATTTAATATCAAATAATAAAGTATTGTCTGCCGAACTTTTAGTATTATTTGATAGAGTAACAGAAGCATTGCCCTATAGTTGTTGGACTCTCCTGGAAAAAGACCTTACTACATTCTGGTCTTTAGATAACAGTTTTGCAGGTTCTCTATTTTTCTGAAATTGCCACCACGTCCTCTCTACATATTGAGCTAAATAATGAATAAAAGAAATTTGGTGTAGGAGAGCTAGAAATAGGTGCTTCACTTCCATACCTAAAAATGTACACAAAACTTTAACATTTTTCCTTTTTGAATTTGCAAAACTTTTATTTACTTTGATACCTGTTAATATTTATTAAAGAATGAGATCACTTGATAATGTTCCCAAAGTGCTCCCTGTCATATACCCATCGGTTGCGACATTATATTTGTCATTTCACAGGCCCTATAGACCTTTTGGTTTTTTCACCTCATACCATGGATTGTTTCCTGAATGGGCTGCAAAATGCGCCCAGTTTAAAAGTTTTGATCAATTTTTGGGCAAAATTCTAATGCTTCCAAAAAAAGTCCTTTTACAGACATGGGATAGGAGTACTTCAAAATATCTTAATGGGAATATAACCGGTTTCAGATTTTACTTTTAATTCTATAAATCTTGATTTCTCCATCTATTTAGTGACTAGTTAACCTTTTCTGCCACAAGGGTGGAAGAGTGTTTTCCCTTGAACTGCTTTCCAATAAAGCATTTTTCCATGAAAAGGAAGAGTGCTCTCCCTTTACCCACTCTTCAATTAATTACATGCATTATCATCACACATGGTAGACCTGTTCATACTAATCAAATTCCCTAATCAAAGCATTCTATTTGATCAGATTACATTCTTTCGTTTTGTTTTGTTTTGAAACCTGTGGGGTATATGCAATATTATGAGTTACAACCTTTCCTGTTGTCAGAAGTTACTTTTCTCTAGATCAAACATCAAATAGAAGATGGATTCCTAAACATCTTGCATTGTTTATTATCAAGTTGAAAATTTGAGAATAAATCCACAATTTCATGTTTGTCAATGCATTTGCTAAAAGATAGTTAGAACCCTTTGGACCAGAGTGTATGGTCAAAGAAAGAGGCGTCCTGTGTGAGGCTATCCCTTGTGAACATGATGAGTATAATTTGCTCTACTAATTACCTGCCATATCTAGATTGGACACATCCATTTGTACCATCTATATGTGTCGGAAAATAAGATCCAGATTTCGCAGATTCAAACGACATGGCGTCTAGAAAGTTGCCAGTCACAGACTCAGCAATTTCGTTTTTCTCTGAAAAAAAAAAATGAAAAGAAAATGTTTTGATAAAGTAAATAGATTTAACTTCATTACAACTGAAACAAATAAGTGTCTTCTCATGACACTATTTAGAATTCTGAAAAATGAAGATAAACAAGAGTGAGAGAAAGTATTTAGTCCCTAAGAAGATAAACAAGAGTGAGAGAAAGTGTTCAGTCCCTAAGAAGATAAACAAGAGTGAGAGAAAGTATTTAGTCCCTAAGAAGATAAACAAGAGTGTGCGAAAGTATTTAGTCCCTAAGAAGATAAACAAGAGTGAGCGAAAGTATTTAGTCCCTAAGAAGATAAACAAGAGTGAGAGAAAGTATTTAGTCTCTACTGATAAACAAGAGCGAGAGAAAGTATTTAGTCACTAAGAAGATAAACAAGAGTGAGAGAAAGTATTTAGTTTCTACTGATAAACAAGAGTGAGAGAAAGTATTCAGTTCCTAAGAAGATAAATAAGAGTGAGAGAAAGTATTTAGTTTCTACTGATAAACAAGAGTGAGAGAAAGTATTTAGTCAGTAAGAAGATAAACAAGAGTGAGAGAAAGTATTTAGTTTCTACTGATAAACAAGAGTGAGAGAAAGTATTCAGTCCCTAAGAAGATAAACAAGAGTGAGGGAAAGTATTTAGTATCTACTGATAAACAAGTGTGAGAGAAAGTATTTAGTCCCTGAGAAGATAAACAAGAGTGAGAGAAAGTATTTAGTCCATAGGAAGATAAACAAGAGTGAGAGAAAGTATTTAGTCTCTAAGAAGATAAACATGAGTTAGAGAAAGTATATAGTATCTACTGATAAACAAGTGTGAGAGAAAGTATTTAGTTTCTACTGATAAACAAGAGTGAGAGAAAGTATTCAGTCCCTAAGAAGATAAACAAGAGTGAGAGAAAGTATTCAGTCCCTAAGAAGATAAACAAGAGTGAGAGAAAGTGTTCAGTCCCTAAGAAGATAAACAAGAGTGAGAGAAAGTATTTAGTCTCTAAGAAGATAAACAAGAGTGAGAGAAAATATTCAGTCCCTAAGAAGATAAACAAGAGTGAGAGAAAGTATTTAGTCCCTAAGAAGATAAACAAGAGTGAGAGAAAGTATTTAGTCTCTAAGAAGATAAACAAGAGTGAGAGAAAGTATTTAGTCCTCAGAAGATAAACAAGAGTGAGAGAAAGTATTTAGTATCTACTGATAAACAAGTGTGAGAGAAAGTATCTAGTCCCTAAGAAGATAAACAAGAGTGAGAGAAAGTATTTAGTATCTTCTGATAAACAAGAGTGAGAGAAAGTATTCAGTCCCTAAGAAGATAAACAAGAGTGAGAGAAAGTATTCAGTCCCTAAGAAGATAAACAAGAGTGAGAGAAAGTGTTCAGTCCCTAAGAAGATAAACAAGTGTGAGAGAAAGTATTTAGTCTCTAAGAAGATAAACAAGCGTGAGAGAAAGTATTTAGTCTCTAAGAAGATAAACAAGTGTGAGAGAAAGTATTTAGTCCCTAAGAAGATAAACAAGAGTGAGAGAAAGTGTTCAGTCCCTAAGAAGATAAACAAGTGTGAGAGAAAGTATTTAGTCTCTAAGAAGATAAACAAGCGTGAGAGAAAGTATTTAGTCCCTCAGAAGATAAACAAGAGTGAGAGAAAGTATTTAGTCTCTAAGAAGATAAACAAGCGTGAGAGAAAGTATTTAGTCTCTAAGAAGATAAACAAGTGTGAGAGAAAGTGTTCAGTCCCTAAGAAGATAAACAAGAGTGAGAGAAAGTATTTAGTCCCTAAGAAGATAAACAAGTGTGAGAGAAAGTATTTAGTGCCTAAGAAGATAAACAAGTGTGAGAGAAAGTATTTAGTTTCTAAAAAGATAAACAAGAGTGAGAGAAAGTATTTAGTATCTACTGATAAACAAGAGTGAGAGAAAGTATTTAGTGCCTAAGAAGATAAACAAGAGTGAGAGAAAGTATTTAGTGCCTAAGAAGATAAACAAGAGTGAGAGAAAGTATTTAGTGCCTAAGAAGATAAACAAGAGTGAGAGAAAGTATTTAGTCCCTAAGAAGATAAACAAGAGTGAGAGAAAGTATTTAGTCTCTAAGAAGATAAACAAGAGTGAGAGAAAGTATTTAGTCCCTCAGAAGATAAACAAGAGTGAGAGAAAGTATTTAGTCCCTCAGAAGATAAACAAGAGTGAGAGAAAGTATTTAGTCCCTCAGAAGATAAACAAGAGTAAGAGAAAGTATTTAGTCTCTTCTGATAAACAAGAGTGAGAGAAAGTATTTAGTCACTAAGAAGATAAACAAGAGTGAGAGAAAGTATTTAGTCTCTAAGAAGATAAACAAGTGTGAGAGAAAGTGTTCAGTCCCTAAGAAGATAAACAAGAGTGAGAGAAAGTATTTAGTCCCTAAGAAGATAAACAAGTGTGAGAGAAAGTATTTAGTCCCTAAGAAGATAAACAAGTGTGAGAGAAAGTATTTAGTCTCTAAGAAGATAAACAAGTGTGAGAGAAAGTATTTTGTCTCTAAGAAGATAAACAAGAGTGAGAGAAAGTATTTAGTCCCTAAGAAGATAAACAAGAGTGAGAGAAAGTATTTAGTCTCTACTGATAAACAAGAGTGAGAGAAAGTATATAGTCTCTACTGATAAACAAGAGTGAGCGAAAGTATTTAGTCTCTAAGAAGATAAACAAGAGTGAGAGAAAGTATTTAGTCACTAAGAAGATAAACAAGTGTGAGAGAAAGTATTTAGTCTCTACTGATAAACAAGAGTGAGAGAAAGTATTTAAATTCTAAGAAGATAAACAAGAGTGAGAGAAAGTATTTAGCCGCTGAGAAGAAAATCGGGGATCAAGAAGACAATATTTTTAATGTTTGTCACTTGTGAATTATCCAATAGAAACCAATTTCTGGTATCAATTATCTAAGTAAGAATGTAGGATGAGTTTTTTTATGTTGCCTTTAATAATAACATCCAATTCTGTTTTTATATACATCTTAATAATTATGTTGTTTTGTTATTTTGATCTAATATCACTCCTTAATTTTTTAGCATATAAAATTTCCACAAATGTTTAATATTGTTTTATAAATAAAAAAAATAATTATCTTTGTTTTGAAATTTTATGCTTTTTTGGTTTTACAAGATCAGAAGAAGTAATTTGATGAATCTAATGACAAAAGTACAGACTTCAACAGCTGGAGAGCGAGCAAAAATTTCAATTTTTAGTATGTGTATTGCATGATGTCACATTCAGCTAACAGTTTAAAACTGACCAAGGGGACATTACTCTGTCAGAGTTCATACACTGCCATTCATAATCTCTTTTGATAAAACATATAACATATTTTCAAATTGGATATTGTGATTTTTATTTGATGAGCAAAATGCATTTAAAATCGTTTAACAGAGTATATGATTTCAGAAGTGACAATAATCCATGGATGAGATTTTTTTTAAAGAAGTTATTTACTTCAACGAGGCAAATTTTTTTATGACTTGCACTTCTCACTAACAAATCAATCCTTTTCAAGAATTCAAGTTTCAATTTTCCTACAAGTGAATTGCATAAAAATACCTATTGATGTGCCATAGCTTGTTTGGGGACAGATACACTGTGTAACTAATATTTATATAAAATCTATAAGTATAAATCTACAGGAATAATCTATTATCTAAATGTACAGATGTAGCTGCCAAATGGTTTTTAAGACTACATTAAAATAGCATTCTGAGCATACTTATCTTTTATATTTTGGATTAATATTTACAATTTTTTATTTTTTTTTTTTTTGTTGCTCATTTAAGTTAAATTCATTATTTTTTTAAAATAAAACATGAAATTACCATATTACTAATATGCAGCAGATTAGTTCTGGAAAATCTTACTTTAATTTTTGCTCATGAATGAAATATATGAAAAATGTTGATTTGAAATTACTATTAAGTTATAGACAGCCATGTTTGATTACCATTGTTGCCTAGAGAATCATCATCACAGTCGTAAAATTCATCATCGTCTGTATCATAGTAACGTGCCGGGGATTTACGTCCTGTAAAGGAGAGAGTCTGTTCAAGTTCGTGATGTTCCGTAGCCAGGGCATGCAGCGCCTCCTGGAGGACTCGAGACTTTTCCATCTCGTCCTTCAGCTGAAGGCTACGTACCTGTCAAAGACAAATGTATCGTGACCAATTTGCAATATCATAATTACCTTCTTTTTTCTATTTTTCAAACTGTTGCATAATTTTGGTATATTATTTTTTTTTATTTAATTTTTCAGTTACTTGTTTTTTTTTTATAAAGTAAGTTTTTCATTCATTTTTCCATCCTGCCATTTCCCTTTCCTGATCATATTCAATATCCAGTCTGCTGGAAATAAGTATATATCTGACAACTAAAGTGACATCTTAATGTTTTCCTTTCACAAATATTTCATAACATGTCTTTGTATCTTTGTAATATTATTTTTTTTCTTTTTACTTTGGGTATTAATGGCAGTGATTAGTTTAAGCGGAATAAATTCCAGAAATTGACTTGTCAAATTGTTGAATCAAAGAATTAAAAGTTCTGATCTTTCTTTTTAGTACAAAATTGATTTTAATTATGTCTGATATATAGAAAATTTATGAGGCTTTGAAATATAAATCATTAATTAATTTATTTATTTCACCTTAAATCTTTTGCATCTGTCTTCCTCAGAATTCAGAGTATACAGTTTTGAATTATGTAAGATATTCATTACATTTCAAATTTCACACCTCATTGGAACTCTTTTGTCAAGAAAATCTGAGTAATAGAACACTTTGTCAATACAGATCACTAAATTATCTCATTGATACAGATCAACTTTTATCAATTCAGACCATCAGAACTCTTTTGTCAATTCAGACCATCAGAACTCTTTTGTCATTTCAGACCATCAGAACTCTTTTGTCATTTCTGAGCATCAGAACTCTTTTATCAATTCAGAGCATTAGAACTCTTTTATCAATTCAGAGTATCAGCACTCTTTTATCAATTCAGACCATCAGAACTCTTTTATCAATTCACTCAGAACTTTTATCAATTTTCACTCTTTTGTCATTTCCATCAGAACTCTTTTATCAATTCAGAGCATCAGAACTCTTTTGTCAATTCAGAGTATCAGCACTCTTTTATCAATTCAGACCATCAGAACTCTTTTATCAATTCAGAGCATCAGAACTCTTTTGTCAATTCAGAGCATTAGAACTCTTTTGTCATTTCTGAGCATCAGAACTCTTTTGTCATTTCAGAGCATCAGAATTCTTTTGTCAATTCAGAGTATAAGAACTCTTTTGTCAATTCAGATCATCAGAACTCTTTTGTCAATTCAGACCATCAGAACTCTTTTGTCAATTCAGACCATCAGAACTCTTTTGTCAATTCAGACCATCAGAACTCTTTTGTCAATTCAGAGCATCAGAACTCTTTTGTCATTTCTGAGCATCAGAATTCTTTTGTCAATTCAGACCATCAGAGTCAGACCATCAGAACTCTTTTATCAATTCAGAGCATCAGAACTCTTTTGTCAATTCAGAGCATTAGAACTCTTTTGTCATTTCTGAGCATCAGAAATCTTTTATCAATTCAGAGCATCAGAACTCTTTTGTCATTTCAGAGCATCAGAATTCTTTTATCAATTCAGACCATCAGAACTCTTTTGTCAATTCAGACGATCAGAACTCTTTTGTCAATTCAGACCATCAGAACTCTTTTGTCAATTCAGAGTATAAGAACTCTTTTGTCAATTCAGAGTATAAGAACTCTTTTGTCAATTCAGATCATCAGAACTCTTTTGTCAATTCAGACCATCAGAACTCTTTTGTCAATTCAGAGTATAAGAACTCTTTTGTCAATTCAGACCATCAGAACTCTTTTGTCAATTCAGACCATCAGAACTCTTTTGTCATTTCTGAGCATCAGAACTCTTTTGTCATTTCTGAGCATCAGAATTCTTTTGTCAATTCAGAGTATCGAGTATCAGAACTCTTTTATCAATTCAGAGTATCGGAACTCTTTTGTCAATTCAGAGCATCAGAATTCTTTTGTCAATTCAGAGTATCAGAACTCTTTTGTCAATTCAGAGCATCAGAACTCTTTTGTCAATTCAGAGTATCAGAACTCTTTTGTCAATTCAGAGCATCAGAACACTAACCACGCATACAGCCTTAAACAAATAAGTTAATTCTTGCTTGATTGGGTTGCTTTATTTATTGATGTAAATTTCATGGTCAAACAATTTAGCCTTATAACTGTCTGTATGGATTTTTTTCTGCTTTCCACTGACGAAACAGAATCATTGATTTCTTTTGATCAATATTAGGGATCAGCTTACAATTCTGTTGAAGAATCATGCACTGCGAAAATATGTTTTTCAATCACATTGATTCCAAGTTTATAGTTAGCAGCTTGTTTTAAATGCTAAGTTTCCAGACCAATTGCAGTACGAATTATTGATAAAGATATCATACACTGTGTATATCTTTTAAATCGTTCTGATATTGTATAATATATTGTATAGAGTTTATTTCTGGAAGGTTCTAATTTTCAAGAATGAAATAAATTGCAAAAAAGGGGGTTGAAAAAAATATCAATAGCGAGATGCCAAGGTAATTTTGTGACTTTTGTGAAAAACATGTATTTTCTACTTCAAGGTTTTGGTAAAACTGCAAATGTTTCAAACAACAAAACATTCACAGCCTTAAACAGAACTTTTTGTCTTTTTCTCTCAGCTTTGAATTGAAAAATGTTTTCTAAGTTTGAACATTACACTGAGGCATATTTGTCCATCTGATTTTTCTGAGATGACTTAATATATAGATTTTAACAAAAAAATATACATGTATGACCCTTGCAAATTTTCTGTACAAACATTTATTATAAATGACAGAGAGTTTGCATGTAAACACAGAAGTTGATGCTACAAAATTGCAGTAAATGTTTTGAAATCTTATCACAAACCTAAACCAATATCGGAAAGTCTATTTGAATAAATCTGGTATTTCTTTATAATGGTAGTAATAATACTATAATCAACAACCTAACAGCATTATAAGGTTATATAGGTCAAGGTCATAAAAGTGAACAAACAAATCCATCTTTTCTAATAGCAATATAAACAGTCAGAGTATTATGTCTCAAGAGATCTAATTTACATATAAGGTAAAATCTGATATCTGTCTTTTAGGTATAAGGATTGTCCCTTTGCATGATCATATAAACTGAAAGGCAACTGGTCTTGGGATCTTTTCCTCATTCTTTCCTAAATGCCCCTTTTTTTCCAATTGTCTGTTCAGACACTAAATCATTTTGGTTTTGAGTATCTGAAAGGCTCTAGGATCTGTCCTTAACCTTTGACATACAGTGAAACCTCACTCAACGAACATCTCAAAATTACAACCACCCTGCTATTATGAGCATGTGCGTCAATCTTGACCATTGTTTTCGTCATGGGTCACCGGCCCTGTCACCAGGAGGCGTTACACCAAGTAAACATCATTATCGGAATAACTTGACATGCCTGTGTGAAAATGCATGCCACATAAGTTTTAATAGCAATCTATTGTTTGTTAATTATATATTGATAGATCAGTGGTCAATCTAATCCACCTCACTATTAACACCACCTCGCTATTAAGACCACTTTTGTCCAGTCCCCAAAATGGTCTTAATAGCGAGGGTTCACTGTACCCAGAAAGCATGAAATTGTTGTTCATCATACCCTTTGCTTTTTCCTTGACATTGAATCAGGTTCATAAGAACTTGAACACTTAGTGTTACCCATTATCAGTATAATGTTACCTGATGGGTTGTCATGCTACATTATCCAGGGTAGGACATTTCAGTGTGATTGCACTATACAAACCTTGTTCAGTGGTCTCATCATTCATAGAAGCCACCTTCAAATGACTTTTGCTGTTGCAATATTGGATCAGATTTATAAATCAAGGGTCCTGACTGTAATTGTGGATAAAAATTCTAGACTCTGTTTGAGATTTGAGAGAACCCTTAGTGTGTTTAGGACTAAGACATTGGTTAACAGACCTCAGGGTTTAATTAAAGAGGTTCAATTGTATAGGATCACTTGCCCTGTAAGTTTTCTTTACTGGTATTTCTGGTTTGTTTTGAACTCCTGACAATCTTCTATCAGGCCAACAGCAGCGATCAATGTATAAAGTTGTTGTCAAAACACTGCACAATACATAGTAATATCATTTATTACTTTAAAAAAGAACAATAATGTAATTACATTTATCAGATTAAGATAAGTGGGCACAAGACAGACATCATCAAGTTATTCTGTTTCTATATTAAATCAAGTTCTGGTTAAACTACGGGCTCACTGTGATTTTTTCTGTACGGAATGAATCCTCCTAACGAAGGGTTGATAAGGAAATGAGCTCACTGATATCAGGTGTCATGTTTACTTAAGAACAGATGTTGTCTGATAACAAAAGGACACTGACAGGTATTAACAATATTCATATCTCGGTATAAGTGTGGATTGGCTGCTTGAAACCAGATCTAGTTTTACAAGCCATTCATTATATTAGTTGTCAAATGACAAAAGTCATCACAACTCTTGATTCTGTTGACAACTGCACAAGGAAAGCAAAGCTTTGAAATGAATCAAATTATTGAGAATTTGATCAACTACTCTAACTTAAGATTTAGAAACTCAAAATATCAATGCAAAAAAAACAGAAAATGTCTGGTTATGGTCTGAAATCAAAAACAAATTCATCCAATCACAGTAATCAAATACTTCCACCATTAAATTGTTGCAGAATTAAGATTTCAAAAGATATGAAATAATTACCTATAGGCCTTATTCAATAAGATAACACAAATGAAAGAAAAAGATGTTTTTTCACCAGAAAACATCATATTTTCAGAGAACAAAACATGTTAAAAAAGAATATTCTTGGTCTTGGTTAAAAAAAAGAGAAGATAAGTTTTCATCAATGAAACATCAATTTTTCTTTCATTGTTTAAACAAAATTGTCATTTCAACATTTTAGTTTTCATTTTCTTATGATAGATCAGACATTTCAAAAGTAGGACAGGCTTATTCCTGAATGTATGCCTGTATATGCACTGAAAATGTGAACAAAAGGCCCAAAGGCCTTAAAGGTTGCCTGAC